AGTGTAAATGGCAGTAATGCTGGTTCCCTTAAATCAGAAGAAAATCTCCAATGTCTTCAATCATACTGCCACTTGACAAGAGTACGTGGTGTTAATATCCTGCCTATATAGTCAATAATCTGTCTAGCATAACATCAGCAAATACATTTGAACTAATAGAAATAAGAAGTCATTTTGACTATAATACAAAAATAAAACAATAAAACAAAATAAAAATTAACTAAACTGAGTAATCCTTAACTTGTGTAAAAAAATTAAAATAAGACTTTATATTAGAGTATAAAGCATTACAACCAGAACACAATCATCTATAACAAACTGAATATCCTAAGAACAATGAGGAAAATAAAGTTAGTTCATTTTAAACACACTTCTATTTTATAACATTTTAGAATAATTTTTGCTTTTGATCTCTAAAAGGAAAAACAGCACTTTAATAAAGTAGCATTGAAACAAGATACAATGAAAAACTGTAGAAAAATTATTTTAGTATAAGTGCCATGTTTCAAATAAAATAAATTTCGACCCAATAATTACATCAGCCCTGAGGATGGTCAAACAAATTGATCTTACCTCAACGTCTATTTTTCTGAAGTGGTAGATACCACTTGTGAATATCTCTTTTCACCTATTTTCTAACTGAAAGAATTCAAAAGCTGTAGCTAGGCCCTACAGTCAGACCTACCAAGGCACTACATGCCACCTTACCATACTCGGAGGGGTTTACTCACAAAGAAGGAATAAAGCAGCATGGATGAAAACAAATGCCCCTATTTTTAAATCTTGTTTTTGTGCCCATTACATTATGCCCACCACATTTAGAAAAATGCAATTAAATGTTTGTCTGAAGGTGAATCATACATCAACCACTTGGTAAACCCCTCAAGAGGAGTTCAGTAGATAAATGGGTACTGATAATGAAATTTCCTTGACAAGCATGTAGTCATTTCTCAAATTTAAAACTTAGCAGATGGTCAGAAAATATCTGTCAATAGTTGATTTCCTCTGTTTAACTCAGTAAGAAGATTTGCATATCATTGATTATCTGTTAACAAAGGAAAAGTAAAGGCATTCTAACAGTATGCTGCATACTAGAACGAAGGGAAATGAATTTCCGTCAAGCCAAAATAACATAAGTGACACGTGCAATCCTGGAAGGTACAGGAGTAAAACCTTGTATCTCATCTACAGGAATACTATCTAACAACTTGAGCTCATAAAAAATATCCCTATATTCTGAAGGTCAGTGAAATAATTTCCTCCTTAAAATATCAACTAGTATAGGAATTAGACACCTGCAGGGCAGTTTAAGTTTTCCTAAATAGAAATAGATTCTTTTCTAGAAATATAATTGATATAGGGTGATTTATCAAGTTGAAATATAGCTTAAGAAAAATGCAAGGAGAATGATTTCCTGATAAAGGTAAAATTATACACCATTTTCAGCAAAATTTTGAAAATAGCCTAGAGGATTATCTTGACTTGGAGAATAGTGAAGAAGGAAAAGTCACACCCCAAACCGTGTGCTTCAGTGACCTTTAACCATACTATATGTACTAACAAAGGTCATTAGAGAACTTAAAACAGCATTCCTTCCTCAAAACAAAAAAAAAAAAAAAAGAGAAAGAAACCTAGTTTAAAATTTTCAGTGACAGCATAAAGAAAAAGCTGAGTCCAAACAACATTGTCTTACTAAAGTAAGAAAAGAGGTATGAGAGGTCACCCTGGCAGAGAATTTTATCAGTGACATAGGTTAGAAATTCCAGTACAAGGTGACAATAAAAAGCAACACTATTTTTGTCAGTTTTGTTGTTTTTAAATGCCTTACAGAAAATGAACCTCCTTAATGTCTATATCCTGGGGCACACCACACCCACCACCCTACCCCTGATACACCCCACTGCATAAATAAAAGGTTTAGTTTCTCTAGAAATTATGGGCAAGATCCTTACTGACAAATCAGTAAACTAACCTGGAATCCCAAAACAACTGCCAAGAGAACTTTGATTTGCTTATGGCTTTAAACCTCACAGGTCCACGCATTAAACACAGACTAAATGACCTAGTAATAACATAAAAAAGGACATACCAGAGTTCTTAGATCACACAGAAAACGATTTCCATTTGAGGAATTAAATTCTTCTTATAAATCTTTTTTTTTTTTTTTTTTTTTTTTTTGAGACGGAGTCTCGCTCTGTTGCCCAGGCTGGAGTGCAGTGGCGCGATCTCAGCTCCCTGCAACCTCCACCTCCTGGGTTCACATCATTCTCCTGCCTCAGCCTCCCAAGTAGCTGGGACTACAGGCGCCCGCCACCACACCCAGCTAATTTTCTTTTTGTATTTTTAGTAGAGACGGGGTTTCACCCTGTTAGCCAGGATGGTCTCGATCTCCTGACCTCGTGATCCACCCACCTCAGCCTCCCAAAGTGCTGGGATTACAGGTGTGAGCCACCGTGCCCGGCCTCTCCTTATAAATCTTTTAAATATAGCTAGTGACACCTGTACTAAGAACCCATACATGCTAGATGCTGAAGAGGATGTAGTGAGCAGTATAGACATATTCTTCTGCCTTTGTCAAGTTTACAGTCTAACAGAAGGGACAATATAAAATGAAAGTACAATAAACTCTAACACTCCAATAATAGTGGAAATATAGGAAGCTATAAATGCATGTAGCAAGATCTCACAGAATTTTTCAAATTTTTTCATCTAACCCACAGTAAGAAACATATTTACATTGTAACCCAGTTTCCACATTGTCTATAGTAAAATAACATACATACATATGCATACATAGACATACCCATATATAATTAAAACTGGAAAATTTTTATGAAACAGTGTATGCTCTTAAAATGTGTGACAAATTCTGATATTTTCCATTCCATTTTAATTTACCTGGTTTTAAATCACTAAATTGAGGATCCCTATATGGGTTTTGACCTGAAGTTAAAAAACACAGACCATTGGTATTTTTAAGTCAGCTGCATTTTTAAAATAAAGGTACAAATTCCTGAGCCCTACTTTTAAGTTTACTACTGAATTAGGGTCCATGATAGATAGGTCCCAGAAAGCTGGGACTGTAAAACCTGGCAACTCTATTGTGCCAGGATATAGAAGAACAATTGTGCCTTGAATATACACTGTAGCTATCACTACAGGTTATCTGACAGCCCAGCTATCTGAGATATCTGTATCTTGAGTAAAGTTCACAGAAATGTTTTCAAAGTTACTCTCTCTGATTTTTCCCTCCTTAGATCTAATATATTCGTTATACCACCTCCTGGACCACAAGCGTCAACAAAAACAGAGCAGGAAATGCACTGTGCCTCAAAAGCAGATCTGCTGGAAACACTAGAGGATGGTATACTGTGAAAGCTATATAAAAACACAGAGAAAGCAATCACAGAGAGAATAAAAGCCTAAAAATTGTTGGCTGACTTCTATCTTTATTTTCTTGAGAAATCACACTTTTTAAAAAAGTTATAAATATTAATCTCATTAATCTTAACTTTATTTTGCTGGGTGAGCGGAACTCCTTTCCAGGTTGGGAAGAAAGTTTTCCAGATACAGGCAACCAACACCAACTTCCTACAGAGCTAGGCGTTTAGGAGTTCAGAAATTCAGATATCCTGGGGACCTGGGAACATCATAACCCCTATATAACCAAATTTACATCTCTCTTTAAATTACTCCCCATAAACAAGAAGCAAAAGTAGTAATGAGTTCCGCCACAGGTGGGGGGAATCTGTAAGTTTGTAGTATCTTAAACAGAGAATATTTCACATATTGTAAAAATGAGAGACTATCTCTTCTCCAAAGAGTTGTTCATGATTTTTAGGAAGAAATTTCCTTAAAAAAAAATGAGTGACCCTTCCATTGCCATTGAAAAGAAATTCTACCTCCCCAACAAGATAGAATGGCACCTGGAATGTCGCATTCAAAATACACTAAGAAGAATATGAAAAGTCTATCAAAAAACTTCAATATTTTTTTCCCACAGAAGAGAAAAAAGAGAAAGAGTAACAGTATTTTCTTTAAAATAATGTCTATTTGCAAAGCTCACTGTCTTTAGATAATTTCTATCTTTTAGAGACATAGTACAGGATGATTGGCTTAAAACAAGTCTGATGGCAGACATGCAAAAAACATGCCAACAGACAACACACAAAAATTAAACTGGTTTTTAATACACAAGCATAGACCTGGAGTTCAGAAAAAGATATGCTCTAAATCTTTTTATATATATTTTTTACCCTCTTATAAAAGCAGATTCAAAGAACAGCCTTAAAGTGAAACTAAAGAACGGCGGGGGGCATTAAAAAGCCCAGTTCAAACTAAGTGGCTCCTGGGAAGGAGGAGAAGGAAAGAATTAGAGAAAAAGTAGGGGCCCTTTTGCATTGAAAAGTCTTACTGTATGTCTCAGCTTCAATTCTAAATGAGACATCATCTCAATATAAAGGATAATATGCTTCAAATCGTTAGAAAACTAAATGTATACATTTCTATATTCTAATCCACTGTCTCTTAGCAGCATTAATTTTAAGTAGAGATACTAAGCTAGAAGGCAGTTTGGCCTAATTAGCAAGTGGCTCAGTGACAAATATAGCCTGCTGTATTAAAATTGCTTAGTAGCTATACAAATTGTAGCTGATAATTTATGAAAGAAATTCTAATTCAACTGACCAGTGCTGTGAATGTCAAACAAAGGACAGCAAAATATATGTTGAAATTTCCATGTACTCATGTTTTACAAAAGGACAACTCTAAAGCATAATTAAATCAAAAGCACATGCTATATTAATTTCATCATCTTAGCATTACAGGCAAGAATACACACAAGAGCTTTGCTTTTCCACAAAGAACTTTGTCTTATCATTTTCTAATTTAAAATCTTCCATGCTAGTAAAATTCTCCAAGGTATTTCCAATCTTAATCTAAAGTGCTAGAATCCATACAATCAAGTTATAATAAATGACAACTTGAGAGTTTCCACTTACCTAGATATATTGTTGAAGCTGAGAAAGAGATGTTGGAGGCAGGGCAAATTATCCACATCTCTCTGGAAGAAAACAGAAAGCAAAAATTAATCAGATGAAAGAAAAAAATACTATAAATATCTTCTTGCTAAGCTATTGAAATATATAATCATTTCTATTTACTGCAACATTGCTACCTCACTGATTTCTACTGGTCAGTGAGCTCCATTCTCCTCCACTGCAGATTAAATGGGAGGGTTTCAGTACATCCGCAGAACAAGCTGCACCACTCGCAAGGTAAAAAGCACTGAGGAGACAGGGAGAGATGCTGCCGCTAGCCTCTTTAAGCATGCTTTTGGGAAAGATGCCAAAATGCTACTTCAGCATTTCAACTGTAGCACAAATACAGTATGATCAAACATTTGTTTAAAAAATCACTGTTAAAAAGAAGCCATTCAAAAGCCTTAACATTTAAATTTATACAGTTAGCCTTCTAAACAATAGTGAGAATTTTAAAGCTATTTAACTCACTATTCTGAAAACCTTGGAAATAAACCATCAGTTACAAATGAACCAATACATTAATGATTCTCCCATAAAACTAAAAGCAAATAATGGTAAGTGTCACTGAAGGGCACTGTAAGGGCAATTTCTCATCCAAGCTCATATCAGAGGTTCTTACAATAGGAAATCTACCCTGTTATATTTATGTACACCACTCCAAAAACACACCACTGCTGTTTAAATACAGTTAACCTTAACAAATATTGAATTGTTTAGGACCAAATTATTAAAAAAAAAACACAAATAAAAAATAAGTAAAAGCTACCTAATCATGAAAAGACATAAACTTTCTGAAAAGATTTATATATAATGGAGTAACAGAATCTTACAGAAGCTTCATAATTACCAAGTCTACAACCTTATTATTCGCCTAGAAAAGTGACCAATTGAGGTTATTGCAGGGGGAGAATAAGGGTGTGGTGGGAAGGTGGCCCAGGAGTACATACAGTCAGTCCCTAGAGGCTGAGACAGGGAAAGATTCCAGTTACCCTGACTTCCACTGCTGTGCTCCTCAAAGTATTACATACTGCCATGTCTCATATAAAATGTTTTTCAAAGGCAGCATCATTTGCAGTAATTCTCAGTTATATTAATTTGAATAATACAAAAATAAGTATATTTGACATGTTATTGTGACCAATATTTAAACCTAAATCAAAACTTGTTTCACTGTTTCCATAAATCATTGCCTTTCTTCCTCCCCCTCCTTTTCTTCCCTCCATTTGAAAACTGCCATTTCTAAGACCTGAGTAAGAGTTTAGGCAAGTGCATTAAAATAATTGACAAACCTAGCTTTTCCCAAAATGCTGTATTTTTTTGTTATTAAAAGAAAATATAAAAGTGATAGAATTACGACAGAACCACTTTTTAATGGTTTTTCAGAAAGCAAAGGAAAAATGAAGCTGCCTTGTTTTTCTACCTTCCCTATGTGTACTATTCTCCAAACTTCTCTCAACCCTTTAGACCCTAAACAGTGTAAAATCAATACAATAGTCCATGATCAAAACACTGGCTATGTATACCACTCGTTTGACATTATCATTCTCAGGCCCACTCCCACAAAGCCTATTCTGCAGATGTGAGATAATGATTTTTAGAGCTTTTCATGGCCAAGGAGTAAGTCTATGGAAACAGAAGGGCAGCCAAATTTCCCTCAGTAGGTGATACAGTTCAAATGTTGGCAAACTTTTAAAATCATCTCTTTCAGCTAATTCTCTCTGATATTCTCACAAATGGAGGAGGAGTGACAGACTAGTGGTATAGGGCTCATTTCACTCCAGGGCCCTAGTTTCCAAAGGAAAGGGCAGCCTACTGTCTATCTGGTCTCTAGAAACATGAAGTCACAGCCAGACTGAAAACCCTCTGTAATCCTAGGGAAATCTCTTCTCCCAAATTCTTCCTGGAATCTACCTGCTATATTTCTAGGCACAAATCATTGTTACTGGCACTCAACCTGGAGAAACAGAGAGGCAGCAGCTTTTAAAAATACATTTTAAATCCTTTGAATCAAGGCATCTCATTTAAAAAATACATTTGTCCCTTTGAGCTTCAGCATGCCATCTTCAGAGATTATAAACACCTTCTAAGACATAACTTTTGTCAATTAAAATATAAAACTCAAATTCCATCAGGATATAATTTGTGAAAAAAGTTTTTTAAGTTTGATAAAATTACAATATAATTATTTAATCTTTGTTTATGAGAGAAAATTTTACCACAAGTCTTTATCAAATTTTCAAAATCATTAAATGTCATTGCCTAGTAATCAAAAATATAAAAAAATTCACAAGTTGAAACATTAAAATACAGAATTCAATTCTGTATATCCTCATAATCACTTACATAGATAGCTTTCCAGAACTTTAAAAAGCAAATAATTACCCACAATCATTTTTTGTTGTTCCACATTTCATTTCTGTAAGAAAACGTTCATTTTCTCCAAATTTTTAGCAATTCTGTGATATACTTTTGTAATGAAACTCTAGCATTATAATAGACAAAAAGAAAACACCATATTTACCATATCAATTATCTATGTATGCATTATTTACAGAAGAAAGACCCGTTAAAAACTACTAGGGGATGGCTCCTCCAATATGAGAGAGTAAACAAAAGATGGGATATATATAAGATCGAGGGAGTACAATTCATCATCCAGGAGAGGCAAAGAGAAATCCAACGATGAAATCTGTATAGCAGGGCTAAATGCAAGCAGGCTACATTAGACAGAGGACAGGAGGCTCTAGAAGGGTATCTCCAAGAGGTAAAAATGAAACATAGATCACCTGAAGTCTTTGCCCATACAGAGAGGAATTTTAGGGTTCTGTTGAAGAGTTTGGACATTAATTAATGATAGTTAAGCCCTAAATTGAGACAGTTATTAATCTCAGGGAAAACAAAAGTTTAACATCATGGTCCAAGACTCACTTTGAAAACCTCACCTTGCTTTGTCAACCATCCTAATCTATTCTATCATAAATCTATCCATTTTCATTAAGCTCCTGCACTGAAAGACCTACCCTAAACCAGAACCCCAAGAAATTTCAAACTAAATCTCCTGTCTTTGCCTTTGAAGATACAGCCAAGGCTATGTCAAGGCAGTGTGCTTTTACTTGCCAGTAATAAATTCTCCTTTGCTTTATCAACTAATCATTCTGGTGGTACTCTGCAGGAGCCAGCACTCAATCTGCTTACCTAAAAATTATTTTGGAATGACAGGGAAAGTGGAAATGGGGGTTAGGGATAATGTAAGAAAGCTAAATTCTCAACTCTTTAAGAAAAAGTATTTATTTTACTGTCAAGCATTAAATACCCCTAACATTTCTTTTCTGGAGGTAACTATTTCAGCATCAGAGAAACTATAACAAAGCAGCCAGAATGTTAACATACCTAAGATGAGAGGGAAAAAAAATGAAATAAAATGTTTACATGTAGGGGAATATTTATAGCTCATCTGTTATTAATTTCTTCATTATCTTAAATGTATTACTTTTAATAGAACATAATACTGAAAATAATATTCAAAACCTGTTTGAAGTAAAATTAAAAACTATTTCATGTATTTGGAAAATATAATCCTTTGAAAAATAGACAAAATTATTTACCACAAGATTATCTGAGAGGATTATAATTCTTTATTTTTCAAAAGAATACTGACTTGTTTTCTGAGAAAAATGCTTGTCCTACTCTGCTCAGGCACTGTTGTCTATATCCCTAAACTGCATAAAAGAACTAAATGGCCAGGTGCGGTGGCTCGCATCTGTAATCCCAGCACTTTGGGAGGCTGAGGCAGGTGGATCACCTGAGGTAAGGATTTCGAGACCAACCTGACCAATATGGTGAAACCCCATCTCTACTAAAAATACAAAAATTAGCCAGGCACGGTGGCATGTGCCTGTAGTCCCAGCTACTCAGGAGACTGAGATGGGAGAATTGTTTGAACCCGGGAGGCGGAGGTTGCAGTTAGCTGAGATCGCACCTCTGTACTCCAGCCTGGGCGACAGAGCAAGACTCCATCTCAAAAAAAAAAAAAAAAAGAATTAAATGATTCAGCAATCTGACCACGTGGGGGAACATCTATCACTGGAGCTATTTTTAGAGCAGCTTCCTCTAGAGGAATAAGGAAGAAGAAAGGTGAACAGACAAGGATTTTGACATGCACCATGTAGGGCAAAGATTACTATAATAAAATCACAGCTACCCTCATTTTTACTATGTAGGCTTTCATATGAAACAAGTTAGAGTAAAAATATACAGGGGTAATTGTTCTAACTTTGAGAGCTGTAAACAGATCCATTCACAAAGCATCAAACAAGCTTGGAAACAAAAAACAACAAAGTATTCCTTTTCATAAGAAGACATTAAATTAATTCCAGAATAACTACTTGCTTCACCCATCACTTTGTGACACAGACACATATTATATGAGGACTAATAGCTGCAAGCCATCATATGAAAACTCTAATCATATATATAAATGCCAATGAAAAAAGTCCATTACTTGGCTCTGCTATCCAAAGGCATTAATGTGCTTATCCAGTTTTTGTGCTTGTTTACTACCCATTACACAGCAATAGATATCAGTCAATTCAGCTACATCTTACTCTTCCAGTCTGATTTTCTTCTACACACTGTTTTATTACCCCAGAGCAAAAACTGAAAGGGAACTTAAAACCAGACCAGTAAGAAGGTACTGATATGCTAACTAATTAGGGAAATGTCCAGTCTTTATAATCTAGGAGAGTTAGATTTAACAGCTTTGAGGAAATCAACAAAAAGCCTCAATTTTGTAGCCACAGGCTTTCCCTCACTGGAATTTACAGTTCAAATTTACATCACAAACATCATCTAAAAAGACCCCTCATAAAAAACGGTACCTGGCATTCATGACCCTAACACTCCTGGCAAAACTGTCTGGAAAGACACGAATTCAACTCAGGCTTTGCAATATCCTGACTATTCCAAACTACTAAACTATAAAGAAAAAATTACCGTGAGTAACAGTCAGTAGAACTTTCAG